TAAACAGATGCTCCGTGGCCCCTCCTCCCTCCACTGTCGAACATTAATGACTAAATGTTACTAAGCAGTTAAGTGGCTGCCGTGGCACACACCAAGTGGCTCCCCAGGTCCACTGCTACCACAGTCCTGCTACCGAGGTGTGCCGTCGGGCATGCACAATGCCATGTGGCCTGAGAGCCTTAGCTCACAGACTTGGGGAGAGCCCAGGCTGCATAGACCACCCCCCTCCAGGAAAAGCAAGTCAGACCTGCGAGTTCCCAAACATGATACCCAATTACCCCGTGCTGCTTTTTTTTTCTTTTGAATATTGTACTTTGGTCTGAAGCAGATGGCATGAAGCCAGGGAGACATGCTAATAGCTCTCTCCAGAAAAGTGTGCACAGCCCATCTGTTGGTTCCTTGTGGGGGGAAAAAAAAAGACAGAGTGAAAGAAAAACCTGCCACCGACAGTAGAATCTTTACAGATCACAGTACTTACGGATCTTGGAGTTTAATTGTACACTTGGAAAAATGCAGTGGAGGCATTTATTCCACTGTAACTCATTCACCTTTATAAAGAGACTTTCTCCAGTCTCCAGCATTTATGGGGCCATCGATGTGTGCCCACAACTGTGGTAGACACAGAGGAGGTGGAGAGAGAAAATAAAGGGTTCCTGCCAGCAGGTGGTTTCTTGTCTAATGAGGGAGGACAGAGTAACTGGGCGATAACAACACAGTGTGACAAGGGCCATAACGGAGATGAACACTGAGGACTGCAAAAGCCCAGAGAAGGAGAACCAGCTGAATCCCCAGAGCAGGGAAAGCGCCCAGCACAGGTGATGCTGAACTGATTCTCAGAGAGCATGTAAGGAGTAGCCACATGAAGGAGGGGGTGGCTTTCCGGGCAGAAGCACCAGCAGAGATGAGAGAGCAGGTGGAGTGTTGTTTGCAGCTGCTATGGGGAAAGGTACCGGTGAAAATGGGATGGAGAGGTGGGAAAGGGGACTGACCCCTAAAGGCTCCTGAGCCAAGCTAAGGCATCTGAACCTTATACTCAAGACAGTGAAGCACTGTATTTGCATTTTAGAACAGTCCTCCAGGGGCAACGAGGGGGGGCGGAGCAGAAGCAAACTAAAAAATAGCCTGGCTGGAGGCTGAAACCTTCCATCCCTTCATCAAAATAGCCATCAAGTGGCGCCCTGGTGGCTCAGTCCGTTAAGTGTCCGACTTCGGCTCGGCTCATGGTCTCATGGTTCGTTAGTTTGAGCCCCGCGTTAGGCTCTCTGCTGTTAGTGCAGAGACCACTTGGGATCCTCTGTCCACCTTCTCTCTCTCTCTCCCTCTCAAAAATAAATAAACATTTAAAAATAAATGGGCAGCAAGTTTGAGGTAGTTGAAAGATCCATGTCTCCCCCATGTCAGACCCAGTGCCCCCTTTTTATGACAAATATTTGTAATGTCACCTTTAAATTCTTGAAATTCGGGGTGCCTGGGTGGCGCAGTCGGTTAAGCGGCCGACCTCGGCTCAGGTCATGATCTCGCGGTCCGTGAGTTCGAGCCCCGCGTCGGGCTCTGTGCTGATGGCTCAGAGCCTGGAGCCTGTTTCAGATTCTGTGTCTCCCTCTCTCTGACCCTCCCCCATTCATGCTCTGTCTCTCTCTGTCTCAAAAATAAATAAACATTAAAAAAAATTTAAAAAAAAAAAAATTCTTGAAATTCATCGATAATATAACTTACCTACACAGCTTTTTAAAAAGTCAATATGATGCCTGCATTATAAGGAGGAACTTTTCAAAAGCTAACTTATAATAAAAAGATACATATCTGAATACGGAAAACGCCCAGGTCCGAGCACACTAGATGTCCTACTAAGCGGCCTGGTGTGCATACCTATAAAGAGCGGCACTGCAGGTGCAGACAGATGCATGAACGTGGTGTTGGCTCAAACACCAGAAGTGTTTCTGTCGGGACCACGGCTTTTCCAAATGGGGAGCAGCTCTTAACAGTGTTTCAAACAAAACAAAATACAGTCTGCCCTCAGAGTACACAGTTGTGACCTTCCTAGAAAACTGTGCAATGAAACTTTGCCTTTCCACGTAATTCAAAGTCCAGTCCTTACTCAGTTGTAATATACACTGTGGTATAACTTGCACACGTTGGTCTCAGACATTGTAGGATATCCACGCTCGCCGCCTCTTAAATGCGGGTAGTGTCTCCCTCTAGCAAAGTGCCCTGACACCCACATACACGCCCCAGATATCCTGGTCACCTCCTAAGGGATGGTAGCCCTCCCAACTGAGAACCCCTGGGCCCCACCAAATAAATCAGAAAGTAAGAAACACACTTGCAGAATTCTCAGTCTGTTGGTGGGCTTAAGTCACAGCCTTATTAGGTGATAGGTGAGGTGAAACTCAATGTAAGCGACTGTCAGGTTTGGAGTATCAACATCATTGTGTTTTCGCCCCTCTTAGTTCAGTGCACTAGGGCTCAGGGGATCTCATAAGGATATTGTCTGTGTTGCTTCTTGATGCTCCATAAGTGCATTGCACACTGCTGGATTAATCAGCAAGAAGCCCATGTGTCCTGTCTCTGACTCTCTGGCACCTCCTGTCACCTTGCAAGGAACCGGCTAGACTTTCAATGCCGCCCCCATTCCTTATCCATCATTGAAGGGATCTGAGGCTGGAGTGTGAGTGACGCCCTCTGCACGCGATTTCTCTGGGCTCCCTGGGTCATTGACATCACCCATGACCCGACCAGCACCACAGCGCCTGCCTGCCTTCCCTTTGGAAGTTGCTAGGATACCCTGCATCCACTCCTCCTTTCCTGGCCTCACTGCTGCACACCTGCAAACTCCTTCTGACAGCCATGAAAAGGCTGGTTTTGAGAAGTCAGGCCAAGTCAGCGTCTCCATCCTCTACTCCGCCTGGCCGGGGCACCTGTCTCCAAGGCTCAGCGGCACATGCATATGGCCCCTGGGCCCCCTGAGAAGGGCACGGACCACCGGAAGCACGTGGGAGTTTCTCTGGGCCCGCCCACACTTTGCCGAAACCCTGAGTGACTGTATCAGGTGTACTGACCGTGCGAAGATCAGAAATTGGTCTTGGCCATCTGCGTGGGGCACTGTGGTACAGAGGGAAGAACATTAGCTTCGGGGATGGACGACCTCAGTTCAGATCCTGATCCCACTTGATGCTGACTGTGTGACCCCAAGCACAGTACTTTCCCTCTCTGAGCACCAATTTCCTTATCCCTAAGATAGAGATAATAAGAACACCTCCCCTGCAAGGATTTTGTGAAGATGTAAAGCATCTATCTAATGCTGTACCTAGAATGTTATAGTCATTTCATAAGTGGAAATGATTCATGTTACTTTTGTTCATGTGAACATATCAGTTGTGCTGCTTTTAAAATGGTTATATCTCACCTGAAAGGACTTAGTACGGCGAACAATTCTCACGGCAACCTACATGAGTAGACGCCCTGGAGTTTCGCAGTACCCAACATATGCCACTGTATGAGGTGCCCCCGAGTAGACAGTCACCTAAAATTGACATCGTCATCATAACACAGAAATCATGTGTAATAATACCTGTAGCTACCATTTATTGCATGGCTGCTGTATACAGGCAAGGAATTAAGTACTTCAAAGGCTTTATCTGATTCAAATACTACTAACTGCTAACATTTACCAAATGCTCACTCTGTGTCTGGTGTAGTACTCCACCTCACATACATCATCTCCATTTATCTGTAAACCAGACCTGTGTGACAGAAGGTATTTAACGTCCCCTTTTCAGATAAGGAGGCAGAGCCCTAGAGAGCTTGTGAGCGCTCCCTAAATTTCAGAGATAAGAAATGGCGGTCTGAATTTTAACCCGTGCCTCGCAAACTGACACTCTGGTTCTTCTTGCCTTGGCACACGGCTTCGATGCCTGGAAGGAAGATCTTCCTACCTGGCTTTCCAACAAGGAGCCTGACTTTGAGCTTAGAGAACTGGCGCGATTGAGAATGTCCCAGGCCTAGGAAGAAGGGGAGGCAAGATTGAAACCCACATGTGCCTGATTTCCAGTCGTCTGCCTTTTCCCGTGGGGCACACCGGCTCTCGAGGCTCTGGTGTCAGAAATCTTTAGCAATTCTAGCAATATTGTCATTATCCCCCAGATGTCTGCCTGGCTTGCTCCCTCACTGCATTCTGGTTTCCTCTTATGAATCGCCTGCTCGGAGAAGTTTCCCCTGACCATTGCTCTAGACAGAACGCTCCCTGAGAGTAGGGACTTCCGTCTTACTCATCTTTGTGTCTCCAGTTCCTTGCACATAGCCTGACACTTAATGGTTGTTCCGTTACCTTTCTGCTTATCCCTTGAATCCGTGGATTGTTCTTTCCTAGGGTGCCTGACTATTCTTCTACCCCCTTCCAGGTTATGTTGCAATGGGCGCTGTCCTCCCATCCTTCTGGGGCCAGCAGCCCCTCGTCCAACAGCAGATCGCCATGGGTGCTCAGCCACCAGTCGCTCAGGTGATGCCAGGGGCTCAGCCCATCGCATGGGGCCAGCCGGGTCTCTTCCCTGCCACTCAGCAGCCCTGGCCAGCTGTGGCCGGGCAGTTTCCGCCAGCCGCCTTCATGCCCGCACAAACTGTTATGCCTTTGCCAGCCGCCATGTTCCAAGGTCCCCTCACCCCGCTTGCGACCGTCCCAACCACGGGTGACTCCACCAGGTCAAGTCCACAGACCGAGAAGCCCAGACAGAAAATGGGGAAAGAGATGTTTAAGGATTTCCAGATGGCCCAGCCTCCACCCGTGCCCTCCCGCAAACCCGACCAACCCTCCCTCACCTGTACCTCAGAGGCCTTCTCCAGTTACTTCAACAAAGTCGGGGTGGCACAGGATACAGATGACTGTGACGACTTTGACATCTCCCAGTTGAATTTGACCCCCGTGACTTCTACCACGCCATCAACCAACTCACGTGAGTGCCTGTCTTTGGAAACATAAATCCAGTGAGAGCGACACCTTGCTTCTGGAGTCCGTGAACTCCTTTCGGTTCCCATGCAGCAGGCTTCCTTGTTTACATCACTACTAACAATAATAATAGCTACCCGGTACGAGGTACCAACAATAATATACGTACCTACTTCGTATAATGGCTTTGATTACTTTTATACTCATAACAGTGCTTATTACAGGTTTTGTTAGACCTTTTTGGCCAATAAAGTGAAGTTCAAAAACAGGAGGGTAGGCAGAAGGGGAGCATCGAATACAAACCTGTCGCTTTTCTACCATGTCACTCTGCTGCTCAAGTTTTTATTTGTTCACATCCATTCGCTCATGATCCCTGCTTATGACACACAGATTCCTGAAATGGAAATGCAGGGTGAATGGGAACCGCAGACGTTTGGGGGACAAGGACAAAAAATTAGAACAGAAAATTGAGATCAAGAGAAAACTTAGGGGAGAGAAAGAGCAGCTGTAAGTCTCGTCCAACTAGTATAGTAGAAGCCAGATTTGGGCTTACGGCTTTGGGTAGGCAAAGAGAAAAATCAGTAGCGTCGCAGAAACCTCTAGACTGGGAACCAAGGAACAGGTTGATCACTTTGTAGTTTTGTGCCTATGGGCGAGTGATTTTATTTCCATGAGCCTCAATTTCCTCATCTCTCTTAGGCTAAGGGATATTAAAAGGATTCAGTGGTACAGTTACTGAAGCATTGTATACCTCACGGAGTTTAAAGTCTTTTTATCACCATTATAGTTGCATAGTGAGTGGTTTTCTGCAGAATCCCGACCAGGGTTCCAAGCCTTGGCTCTCCTACCACAAGCTGTGTCTTTGGGTAAACGTATGACTTTTCTTCTTCACCTCAGCTGTATCATGGGTAAAATATGCGAGTTGGCTTGGATGAGCCACGTGCCTCCTAGTTCAGGCATTCAGTGATTCTGTCCCAGCTCACTTTTCTACTGCAAGCATCCGGAAAACCATACCCATGTAGCCAATCAGAATCCAGACACGCTTGAGCGTGGATATGCTTGGTCGGCACCGTTCGCAAACGTGTCTGGCGATTCAGCCTGTGCCTTGACAATTGATAAGGGAAAAGAAAAGTCTCATGGAACAATGAGTTTGGCGTTTTCATTACTGTCATAGATGATATGGATCACTGCTTGGCCAGTATCGTGAATTGTCGAAAAAATCTAATGCTAACACAATTAGATAGTGTCATTTCAACCAGGTTTGGAAGGCTGTTCTGAAAAGGAATGTCTTCAGTGTGTATAAACAACACGCTTCCACTCAGGCCATATGATCTACATAGCAGGGGCCTCACTATTAACTCTAACTCATAGGGTTTCAATGAAGAATGATGAATAAAAAATGAAATGGTCAAAGAATGAGAGCCATGCATAAATAAGCTTCTCTTGATGACAAGCGCTCTCTTTCAACAGGCTTGTGTGCCAGTCACAAATAAAAGGAAAGTTTCAGTTCTTTGAGGACAGGAAATGTGTCCTAATCGTTCGTACCCTTCTCATAATGCTAGCATAGCATCTCGCCCGTGGGAGACATTTGAGAAAGGTCATAGAGATTGAAATGAAGGAAACAAAGGCCGCTCAGTTACTGTTGTGTTTTAGAGCAAGGTTCTGCAACCTTGACTCTGTTGGTATTTTGGGCCAAATCATCCTTTGATGTGGGATCTGTGCTGTGCTCATAGGACATTTAGCAACACCCTTGCCCTCCACCCATTAGATTCCAGAAGCACCCATCCTCTGCCCCTAGTCGTGACAGTCAAAAATGATCCGAGATATTGCCAGACGTTCCCCAGGATTTAAATTGCCCCAAATTTAGAACCACTCTTGTAGATTATAGAGGTATTCCAGAAAACCTTCTGTAGCCTGAGACATGTCAATAAATGCCTGATTATGCTTCCAATCAATTTCATCTGGTAAGTGGGAGCAGTCTACCTCTCAGACAGCAGCTCAGCCTGGGTTCTCAGCCTTTAGTCAGCAATGAGCCACTTCCAAACACAATTCAGAATCCAGTTACACTATCATGTATTAAACAGCTGTCACACATCAGGGTGTTTCCAGATCGCTCATCTCACTTAAACCCACTACAACTAGTTTGCTCCATAATCGTCTCACAAAACAAAACAGATTTCCTTTCAAATTAAAAAAAAAAAAAGTTTTATTTCAAAGAAAAGAGTGAAGCCAGTCTTTATATCCTCTTATGCAGAAGCATCACCTTCAGCATGTTTTGAGTGGAGGATCAGTCAGACCAAAAGTAAACTGCAACCCGAGATAGAGCGCACGGTCTGACTTCAGCTCAGGTTATAATCTAGCCGTTTGTGAGTTCGAGCCCCGCGTCGGGCTCTGTGCTGACAGCTCAGAGTCTGGAGCCTGCTTCAGATTCTGTGTGTCCCACTGTCTTTGGCCTGCCCCCCACTCACGCTCTGTCTCTCTCTCTCTCTCTCAAAAATGAACAAACATTAAAAAAAGAGGGAAATGGAGCACACAGTTGGCCACACAGCAGAGACCGACCCGTGTTGAATCCCAGCACTCCTGTTCCGTGGCACTCTTAACTCTGAGAAAGTCACTTCACCTCTCTGAGCTTCAGTGTCGTCATCAGAAAAGAACAATAGCTAAACAGCACTTTGCAGCATTCACATTAGAGAACGCCGTGAATGCGGTGCCCAGCTTGCTGGCACAAAGTAAAGAGCATCATTATTCTAAATACATATCCATCAAGGCAAAAGGCACTCACCAAGTTTGAGAATCACTCACTATCTGACAAACAGCCAGATTTAGTAAATTCTGGACAGTTATGGTAGGGAGGCCTTATCCGTGTCATTTGGAATTTAGCTACTAAATCAAGCCATAACCACTTCCTCATTTGGGGCTGAGCCAGTGACTGGTGTTTTCCAGGCCAAATTGGAAATCGCTGAAAGAAGAATAGCTTCAACTGGCATATTTGTTAGAACCTCTGGAACAAGTGAGATGAGGAAAACGTGGGAAGGCCGGGACAGAAAGCGCAGAGCCTTACGCAGTGAGAAGTAAAGTGCTAGTTGTCAACCTGCCAGCAGCTCCATCCATACCCCCACCTCACTGAGGCTATCTTCGTGCAACACGTGTTTATCAAATACCTGCCGCGTGTGAGGTTCTACCATTCACCAACTGTGTGGCCTTGGGCAATTTAGCACCCTCACTTCCCTTATCCGTAAAATCAGGATAACTCCTACCTCAAAGAGGCTTTGGGAGGGTTGGAGATCCTGTATGTGAAGTTTCTGGCTGCATCTGACACATAGAGGGCACTCGATACATGGGCATCACCATCCTCCGGTCTATTTATTATTGAAATAAATGCATGACGGTAAGGAAGAGAGAAGAAAGAAAGATCTGGTCGGTGCTTATCACCTGGAGTGTGTAGAAATGCAGAGTTTCTGAACCAGTAGGTCTGGGGTGGGGGTCCAAGAATGTGCATTTCTGGCAAGTTCCCAGATATGCGACTGCTGCTGAGCCAGGGACCATTCCTTGAGAACCACTGCCCGACCCGCCCATATGCACCTGCTCCGACCTGACCATCAGGTGTGTGAGAGGGCCAGGATAAATACGTACAGAGGAGATGTTCGCTTGTTCAACCGGCCTGACTTAGGATAGAAAGCAGAGTGCTGGATTTGACTCCAATATAAGCCGATCCCTGAGGCCCCTGTGGGATGTAAATGGTTGCAGCCAGACACTTAATGATGTTCCCTCTCTGTGCATGGTCTCTGTGTAGCTCCAACCCCAGCCCCTAGACAGAGCTCTCCGTCCAAATCATCTGCATCCCACGCCAGCGATCCTACCACGGACGACATCTTCGAGGAGGGCTTTGAAAGTCCCAGCAAAAGCGAAGAGCAAGAAGCTGTAAGTGACCACCTTGTTCTTTCTGGTTTTGTTGTTCCTTAAGATTAAGACCTCTGTATCTGAAATGGACGGTGGGCAAGGAGCCCTGCATAGACTCTCAAGTTCTAGGCGGGGTGCGCGAGGGGCTGTCTTTCACGTTCAAATGAGCAGCTGAAAGCCATGTTCCTTTCATGAAGTCCTTCCCGCGAGTCCCGCATTTGTGGGTGTGGCACCCGCTAACCGCAGGTGCTGTCTCCTTGAAAATAACTGATTATATGTGTGCATGAAAATGTGCCCAGCTGTCTAATGCTTTCCGTTGTTGAAAAGAAAAAAAAAAAAAGTGTTATCTTCTTGTGTTCTAGCCTGATGGATCACAGGCCTCATCCAACAGTGATCCATTTGGGGAGCCCAGTGGGGAGCCCAGTGGTGATAATATAAGTCCACAGGCCAGTAGCTAGATAGCACAGGTCTGGGTAGGTATCTGTTCTTTTTATCTCCTTCACCCTTCAGCTGTCTGCTTTCTGTTTTGCTTGTTCTCCATTGCTGAAGTCACGTCCCTGATGTTTGCACCCTTTCTCCCTGCCTGAGCATATTCCTGATGTTTGCACCCTTTCTCCCTGCCTGAGCGTATTCCTGATGTTTGCACCCTTTCTCCCTGCGTCGTGTCTATTTGCCATCTTGTTCTTCCTCATGGATGCATGACCTTTGACGTATACTGCTAGGTAGGGGTTAGGGTGAGGAGTGGGGATCGGTCCCATTCTTTTAGTAATGATATGTTCTGAGTGGATGGCGGTGATAGAATGAGGCATGGTCAATATTAACACGGATTCAGTTTCTGAAAGCATCAGCATTCTGAGATGGACGCGTCCTGCCCACCCTGATAATTTCTCACTGCGGTGGGATCCAAATGCTTTAACCTTTGAAGCAAAGTGTCCCTGCATCTGCCTACACTCCACAGACCTAAAGAGGTCACCAACCAAACATCCGGTGAAGCCAGGCGAAGAAGCAAGAACAAGCCTTGGAATGAGACTGATAGACGTAAGCTCACAGCAGCCCATTTAGTGTTGCCACAAGGGACCCCCTCGCCCTTCCTAACGTAAAGGCAAAATGCGAAGCTCAGAGACACGTAGCATTCGCTTGAGGCACTGCTGTTTGCACCTGTGCTACAGCATGTGGTTTGCTACTGAACCACTTCAGATTCCATCAGCAGCTACTTTGAGAGAAGTGTCCTTACACTCACTAGAAGTGGCTTCTGGCACTTGACTCTCAATACATCTGATTTGGTCCCAAGAAAGAGGAGCTGATGAAGCAAACCTTCTCAGGAGACAGAAGTACACCTCGTTGCCCAGACGTGGTTTCTCAGGTCTCTCCTTGACGAATGTGTTCGATTTTCAGATACCTGCCTAGTTTTCCACAAATGTGTAGGGCTGCAAGGCTGTACCCACAAGAGTTCCTTTCCTTAGTCCTGAACAGCGTGGTCAGCACCATTAAAATGGTAAATAGTTTTCACCATTCATAACTCGGTGCTGAGGCTCAAAATCCTCCGTTCGCATGTAAGTTATTTTGACAGTTATTGAAAGCTAAAACAGTGTTTGGGAAGTGCATTTTGTTAATAGATTTTATGATGAAAGAGCTCAACATGCTGTATATTTTGCTACATTTTATACCAGTACAGTAGCATATAATAACACATATGCCATGCAAAATACCCGTCTAAAAATTCAGCCTTGCAAAGCTCTTTGGGAAGCTGGTGAATTTAAGGCAAAGTCAATGTTCCAGGAAAGAGGAGAGCTGAGGATTATGGGTGGATGGCTTGGAAAGATTCCCCAAGAGGTTTCCTACCCCCTTGTGTATGTTTTATTTCACGTGCTCAACCTTTTTGAAAAATTTGATGCATGAACCAGAGGTGACAAGAGCCATTCGTCAGTATAACAGCTAACATCATCCTAAAATTGAAGTTCTTCTAGAAAACAAAGATGACTTACACCATTTGCAGATCAATGTATCAAACCCTCATCTTTATGAGCCCACTCAGCTTGAGACAGTCCAACAAGCTGAACCGGGTCTTGGGGCTTCAGTCTATTCCGTGTTTGATGCTCCATCCAGAACCCCATGCCATGGGAAAATGTGATTTCTTAGTTCTCTGGCTTCCCCAGTCCCATAATCAGAATGATGCCAGCTGGGGGCTCACAGGCCACCTCTCACTTCCAAAAAGTAAGCAGGCTTACATTCACATATAAATTATAATAAATGGCTCCCAACCCCAAAAGGGCTGGACTGTAATCTTCAATGAAACAGTTTTCTCCCTTTGAACACTTCACTTGGCATGATCACATTTGCCTGTTGAGAATCCCACGCCAAGAGGCTGATGCCAGCCTTGCAGACATATCCCCTAAGACACCCACAGTTGAAGTCCACATGAGCCTTTCTGGGCCCCTCCATCAACAGCAATACAAGCTGCATGTGATCTTTCCGCCCCTGTCACATCCGCTCATCTGCGCAATTAGAAATCTAACTGCACCAGCTTAGGGCCTTTCCAGACATTTGGAGAAGGGACACTGTGAAGAGAAAGTTACATCCGTGGCTCTATTTTCCCCTCTGTTTTTGTACAGTTGGAAAGGAGGAGTCTTGTCCTTCTTATCACCCTTGCATTTTATCTCCAGCTGCTTCTGATTAGAAATACCCACACGGTTCTTAGTAGGTGGGGTAACATCTGTTAATAAGTGAAAGCCATATCACACCGTCACACCATAGTAAGAGAGAACAAACGGACTCAGTCCTCGCAGGTGGAAGCTTCAGTACCAATCTCAAACACCAGTTCTGTTTTAGCAATAAAGGGAAATATCTTCAGTTATTTCATTTTTCCCCTTACCCTCCTGTCTGGGACAATCCCGTGTCTTTGAAAGACTGGGTCAACAGGGGGGGAAAAAAGAAAAAGAACCAAAATAATATTGTAATGGCTGGTGTGGGAATGGCAGGTAATTTATACTTCACTGATGTGTTGCTGGAGCAGTTTTAAGGGCGAGATGTTAGCTTTTGAGGAGATGAAAGGAAAATGAAAACATTTATTTGGTTAAATGGCTAAGTAAATAAACTGCCTATCAGACTTTCCCAGCTGTCAAATCGAAGTTGCATCTGTAACAATGGGGAATTGTTTGGTCTGTCTCCCTTAGTAACAATAGATATTGCCATAAATAATAAGTCGTTGTCATGTTTTTAATACCGATCTTCATAGTGGGAATCCAAAACATGTAAAATATTATCTGATGGATTTCTAGTGTTCAAGGGAAAAGAAAGCTGAACTTCAGACGCTTTAGGTGGAAGAATCTTTTAAAAAAATTAAAAAAATAAAAACACAATCTTTGTAAGAAGAAAGAAAGAAGTGCATAGAGTCAGGGACTTAGGTCTGGATTATGGTTTCAAAGCTGGTGACCTTAGGCAAGCACGTAACCCCTTTGTATCCTGGTCCCTCACGTGGATAAATATGGGTAATTAGTTATAACAGCTCCTTCCCCAGGCTGCCCCAGCATCAATAATCATGACCATGAAAGTGCTTTGTCGGCTTTGGAAGTAGAATACATGTATTTGGAATTATTGTTATTATTCTATTTTTAAATACAATGAAACAACAGAGCCTTAAACCAAAGAACCATATAAAACAGAAAATAATCTGTCTGTCTCTTGCACATAACAGTCAGAGGCAAGTCCAACCCCAAGGCGTTGGAGTCATGCAGTTAGGAGATGGGAAGGGCCCCTCTGAGGACCATGTCGGCCACGGTGGAGAGGTGGGCTGGGTGCCCAGAAATATTTAAAAGACGAACTCAGGAGACCGTTAAGACTGAAGGGAACTGGGAGGTGAGGACAAGGACATAACCAAGGACAACCCCCGCATTCCTAATTTGGGGAACTAGACAGGACAGCATGCTTGAGCAGAGAGAGGGTGGGTTTACTTTGGAACTTGAGTTGAACTTGAGATGCCCATGAGACAGCCAAGTAGAGATGCAGGAGGCTGCTGGATTCAAGAATCTGGAGATCAAAAGAGAAAACCAGACTAAACAGCAAGATTTCGAAATGGGTCCAAGCCACTGAAGGGATGGGCACAAGTAGAATATGTTGATCGTTTAGACCAGAGGTCAGCAAACTCTATAAACGTTTATGCTTTGGGGCGCCTGGGTGGCTCAGTGGGTTAGGCATCCGATTTCGGCTCAGGTCATGATCTCACGATTTGTGAGTTCGAGCCCCGCCTTGGGCTCTGTGCTGACAGCTCAGAGCCTGGAGCCTGCTTCGGATTCTGTGTCTCTTGTCTCTCTCTTCCCCTCCTCCACTCATGCTCTGTCTCTGTCTCAGAAATAAACAGACATTAAAAAAAAAATTAAACATTTATGCTTTGTGGGCCAGGTCTCTGTCACAACAAGTCCACTCTACTGTTAGAGAAAGAAAACAACAAGAGATAATGCATAAAGGAACGAATGTGGCTGAGTGCCAATAATACTTTATTTAAAATACTTTATCAAATTAATTATTAAAAACAGGCAGCCACCAAAATTGCCCAACGGGCTATGGTTTGCCGACCTCTGATTTAGATCCCACTCACTATCTCTAGAATCATTCTGCAGAAGGTAATCACCATGCCTTTCATTTACTACTACTAATAAAATAGATTTCAAAATTACTAGCATGTTTATAACCCTTCCAGAAACATCACCTAATTCAATCCTCAGGGTCACCCTCTTAAGTATTTTTATTATTCCCATTTCACAGATATGACAAGTAAGACAAGTAGACAGGTTAATGGCTTGCTAAAATCACAAGATTTACACATAATGGGGCTAGGATTTGAACCTACATCCACATTATATAGCTCGAGAGCTCTCAACCCCACCAGGACCACATGGGTTTTAGTAGCTTCTTTTTGACTTAACAGCTGTGTGACTGGAGCTAGATGGCTTCATTTCTGACCTTTGGTCTTCTCTTCTGTAAAACAATTCCCATATCCTTCCAGCTGACATTCTAGAACCTTCTAACTTGTCCGGCTCACCCAGTCAGGGTATGGAAGACCCACTCCTCACACAAGATCTTTAACAGCACCCCTCCCCCAGGCTGCCTTATTCTAACAAAGGACAGGACTGAAGCCCCTTAAATATGCTGACTTTATTAGGGTTCCCAGAGACTATTGGCCTGAGATCCAGTACCCTCTCCTGATGACCAGGACTTTACTCTGGACAGGACCCTCTGCTCATGGCAGAGAATTGGTGTCAACAACCTCAGCGACTTCATCTACTTTGTGACAACAGCAAGAAAGATGATGTACATGTGCAAAGCAGATAATTTGTGTCCATCATTGTTGGAGAAATGTAGAATTGATCAAAATGTTTGTGGACAGCCCCCCCCGCCCCCAACTCAGATTTTGCATCTCTGGATTCACCAAGTGTGTTTCAACATCCCAAGATCCCAGGGA